GCGACTGCTCCTCTACCGCCGCCGCTCCTCTCTCGGTTGCCCTGGTGCGTCTGCCAGGAATAAGTGGAGAGGAAAGGGGGGCGGGCGGAAACGTGGGGTAACAAAACTTCCAGAACAGGGCCACACAGCCCGGAAGACCCACACCAGCCATCGTATTCCAGCCGTGAAAGCCTTCGACAATACATATATCTGTAATATGCTCTCTGAAGATGCCGGTCACAGATGCTGGCGAAACGTTAGGTAACAAAACTTCCAGAACAGGGCCACACAGCCCGGAAGACCCACACCAGCCATCGTATTCCAGCCGTGAAAGCCTTCGACAATACATATATCTGTAATATATTTCATGAATTCCTTGAGTTTTTTGAGAAAGCTTATGATTTTGATATTTATGATAAACATAACTGGCTAACGCTAAAGTTTGGGGATTATAATAGGAAACAGCTCAGCCCTGACATTTAATATACCATTAGTCACAGGCACTCTTGGTTACCCTTATCTAGGCCTTGGGTTGAGCTAGCAAGCTCTGAAACGGTTTCTTTTTATCGTTCCAACTGAGTACAATACAGTACATATAGTGACCATACTGGGTCAGAATTCAGTCTCTGACCTCTTACAGGAGGATTTCTTCCTAGTCTTGCCAAACTACTTTGGGAATGTAAATTCCTAAGCCTGCTGTCACACCACTTTAAAAAAATCCTGTTAAAGCTACTTAGCATTTGTAAGGCTCTTTCAGAATGCTTCAGATACTTGATCTCCACAATCCTTCAGTTTTATGAGATAGGCAATAATGTATTCATTAGCAGAATGGAGGGCAGCATCTCCTCCACAGAAGACTTTTGGCATCTCCACAGAAGAGTTTTGCACCAATCAAGGAAACTTCTCCTGACTTATGAAGAGAGATGGCACAGTTCACTTGAAACCAGAGCCAAATTGGCTTTTCATTTTCCAACATTGTAGAGTTGATGCTGGTCCATTTTTCACATTGACAGGAGCGCCAGCGGAGCTGAATTTCTGGGCTCAAGCCAGCCGTTATTTTATTCGTAGAAGTTCAGTGTCTTGCTATTGGAGCATTGTCAGGAACTTTGCTCTCGTGCAAAACAGCCATCATAACAACACACAACCATAATCAGAATTACTGGGGGAAACTGCCCATTTGGAAATACAGGAGAACAACTTTGCAGCCAGGAAACTTTGACAACTTTGCTGTCATAGGTGTTGCTCAGAGACAGAAATATATCAACATGAACAGAAAAAAGGGGAGGGGGGGTATGCTAGCAAAATTGATAAAAGTGAGAATGACTGCAATTGGGCTCCCACCAGCTTTGCAAGGCAGTTGGGGATGAAGATGGTAATGATGTCAAAGTGCTCAGCCCCTTACCTAAAGCCACTTGGTCTGAGTGTAGATTTCAATTAGACCCTTCACGTACAGTTCAGTCTTGAGCATTATATGGCCCTAGCTCGTGAAGTAATTAGGGTGTTCCAATGTTAGTTTAAACCAGTGCTGATTTCAAGCCACATTCTTATTTTTCCCTAAAGGCTCTTTTCTTAAATGAACCCCAGGCATGTTTAAAAAAATAACTACAGTGCAGTATGATTATACTGATCTGCAATTTCTGACAGTTGACGTTCCCAAGTGTCAGTACTGACAAGAGACCCTGGAGGTAGTTGGGACAGCCAATGCAAAGGACACTGACCCTTGTATTGGGGGGAAAACGAGGCTGGCCAAACGCTTTTTTAAAACTGAAGCTGTCTGCTGGTGGCTGTGCTAGAAGAATGGGGGGTTGTGGGAGGGAGGAGGATTCTACCAAGTCCAGAGCAGCTACCTTAAGAATGTTTGAAAGGTAAAGTTGTGTATCTGCTGCCTTGTTATCTTTCCTTTCCCTTCTGTTACAGTTCTTCCCATCTATATGGTTCTAATTGCAGCTTGTTGATGTAAGCTATTTGTCAAAACTAGAAATCTGGTGTTGATCTCTTAATTAGGTCTCTTCTTCCCCGAGTTAATATTTGCCCTCCACTGCTGGAGGCCTGGGTAATTTCAGATTCACAGTAGCCCTCTTGATTCTGGTTGCCTCAGCTATTCTGTTCCCTTTAGGCTCCTTGATCGCCATGGGCCTCCAGACGCCCAGCAGCAGAAGCAGCTGGAACCTCTGAGGGGGTCTTTGGTTCATTGATAGATCAGGGTCTCCACCACTTTCAACAGAGTGTTGAAAAGAATTTTCGTAAAGGGAGTTAAGATGATGTCGGTCAGTATAATAATGATCAGAAAACTGAACAGAATGGGATCGAGTTTGATGTGGGGAAGAAGCCAACAAAAGAAAGATGAATTTTCAAATTAAGCTAGATGAAGCTGGGGTCTCTGGAGAAAAATATTTCTCCAGTGCATCTCAATGGAGAGGTGGGTAATAATGCAGAATGTTGCCAATTCCTCCATTCTAAGCTCCCTCCCTCCCTCCAGGCCAGGTGGCCCAGAGTGGAGCATATACAGTCCATTCTATACTTCCCAGTGCACAGATCCACACAAACCCACAGAGACGCAGCGTGAGAGGAGAGCAGAAGCACATCAGCATAGACATAACATGTTATCTGGGTACGCAGAAGAAAATGCACCTCGTATGGCCACTGCTGCTAAAGGGGTTGGAAGGAATTCCAGAAGCAATGCTCAGCATGCTTTCCTTTATCCTTCCCATTAGTATAACTCAGTGTTTCTCAACCTTGGCCACTTTAAGATGGGTGGACTTGGACTCCCAGAATTCCCCAGCCAGCCAAGGTTCGTTCATTCTGTTACCAGTTTTATCTTTTAATGCTTTTCATACAGGACTTATATTTTCTCTTCCTGCATTGTTCTGCTTTGCATCTAAGTTTTATATCCATTTTTCCAACACCAACTTTTTACAGTACTAAAAAGGGTCTGCCATGAGGGGTCTCATGGAAGGTATATTCAGCTCTGCTGGCCGTGCTCCATCCAGTATAGAATCTGATAGCACAAGCTTGGTCCAACAGGAACCCCCTAAAACTTCAGCATTAGCTTGGTTTCATGTGAAATTAGCTAGAGTATCTATGATGGTGGATGACAGGCATGTTTAAAAAGTATGTGTGGCTCCTAGTAATTGATCTACCTCATATGCCATTGTGGCTGAAATTTTAATGTTCGGTAAATCAGTTGTATAATTAATACTTTTTTCAAGGTATCCCAGTCTTGATTCATGTTTTTTCTTGATATAAGTTCCAAGTAGAAATCCATATTAATCCCATCTCACAAATGCTCATTGTGCTAATATTTATTTATGTGATAATATTTGTATGCTGCCCCACTCAGAGACTCTGGCTAAGGTGTTCATTGCTATAATTGCTGACAAGAAAAGTGAAGAGGCAACTCATCAGGGCCTGTTCTCTGGGAGTAGACAAGTTGATTAAGAGAAGCTACAAGAAGAAATACAGTGTAGGCCTCATCTCGTGTCAGAAATGCAGGAACCAGAAAAGGGGAAATTATTAATCTAAATTTTAAAAATTGAAAACTTTAATAAAAGTATAGACGTATATCATTCTTGCCCAATGCCGGGCCACACTGATGGCAAAAATATTTACAACCAGCAAGTCATTCTTTGTGCATGTCAGTCCCAAGGGACACTGTAAAAGATGGACAGTTGTTTGAATAGCGCCACATTCGCAGTAAATGTCC